CAATGCAAACTTTCCTTATCTTTACCATTCATTTATTAATAATATCATCGATATAATTTCAATAATATTTAAAAAAATAAAATGAGTAAAAATATATTAACTTTGTTTTACGATCTGTTGAGGCTTATCCCTAGTGGTAAAGTGATTTTTTTATCTAACAAAAAAAATTTTTAAGGTAAATATTACTTTAAATGTTTTAATAACAATTTTTAATTATCAAATGTTTTTATAATATTGTTAATTGTATTAAAACGATTTGTAAAATTATACGAAGGATGTTTTATTTTATATAATAATGTAGATAAAATTTATTAGAATGTGTTGTTAAAAAAAATAAAAGAAATTACGTTATAAAAAAAGTATTAATAGATAATGCTATTAATTTTAATATTAATGTGAAATAATATATGAAATAAAATAATTGAATAATGTTTGATTTGTATGTAGTATTTATTATATTTTTTTAAATATTTTATAATTATATTTTGAAAATTCAATTTATGAAAAAATTTTACTTTTACAAAATTATTAATATGGAAGAATAATTATTAATTATTTAAGATTAGAAAAATAATTAATAAGAAAGAAAAATAGATTTGAAGTTAAATAATAAATATTTTTTTTATAGAGAGATAATTATATACAAGAGTATTATCTTTTTTTTAATTTTCCATTAGAGCTTAAGTAGACATTTTTGTGGAAAAATTATACTGATTAAATATTTAAATTTTTATAAATTAAATTGTTAAAAGATACTTACATATAATATTTTTTTTTTTGTTAATTAGAATTAATTTAAATGTAAGATAATATTATCTTTGTCCTTAATAACAAATCAATAATATGTGTAAATTTATGGTAAAACATAAATTATATAATATTGTTTGTAAAAGTATGCTTATTAAAATTTGCCTACTAATGTAATGAAAAATAATGTTATTAATTAGAATTTTTAAATGTATAATTTATAAGTCATTAAATTTCTTTTATAATATAAATATTACATAATAAAATTATTTATTATTATTTTTAAGTATATTTTATGGTTAATTCTTTAAATACCCTAAAGTGTTTTTATTTATATTAGAAGTTAGTAGAATAATAAAAGTGAAAAATAATAGAATATAAAAAAATAATTAATGTAAAAATGTATTAAGTCATATAGCCCTTATATAAATATTAATAACTTTGTTTTAAAAGTAGTTTTATAGCAAAAATATTAACTTTTTCAAATATATTAATCAGAGATTAATAGTTAGCTATAAAAGTTTTATAATGCTTCGGAGAATATGTTAAATAAATATATGAAAATATCATAGTAAAAAGATTTTCAAGTAAATATTTGTTATCTTTATGAAGAAAATTTATTTTTATAGGTAATAATAAACTAAAAAATTACCTTTTATATATTTTGTAAATTATCCCATTAAAGTTATACATGAAAAATATTAAAAATAATGAAGCAATATATATTTCTTTGAAGTAAAATAGATGCTATATAAATAAAACTATTTAATTTGTTCTTAATGCAATTATATAAAACTTATATAAAAGATACGTTATATTCAAAAGTTAATACTTGTTAAAAAAAAAGTATTTTTATAAGAAACAAATTATTGTAAAACTCTATAATTTCACTATTATTAATCTTTTTTCTCAATATTCGATGGTATTTTTGAACTCACAATTAATAAATTACTATTTGATAACAAAATTTATTCTCGATAGGATAGTGTATCCAAATTCACTTCATTTATTGTATTGTAATTCATATTAATAAAAAGTCATTATATTTTAAAAATTTTCTTTAGGTTTTTTTATGAATTAATAAAATATACTAAAGTAATTATTAATTTATTATTTAATTTATAGTTCTGTGAAAAGCATAAAGTGATTTTACAGAGAGAAAATGTTGATAAAAAAATTCATTAAACATTACAATATTACAATAACATTTTCAAAAATACTTATAATTAAAAAAATATTTTCTTAATTTTATTTTTCTAGGCTATATTATTGGGAGGTTTTACAAAAATGAATACACTATTTTAAAAAATTTTGATGAGTGAAATAGATTATGAAATGAACTACTTTTTAACGATAAAAAAAGGAATTACGAGAATTCTAATAGCATATTATATATGTATATATATATATATTTATAGGAAAATTGTTTTATGTGTTTATTTTTTTCGTAACATGGGATATATATTCTGTAAAATGTTTATGTTGTTGAACTTTTAAGTCTCAACATATTACTTATTATATTACATTATACAATCAATATGTATTATTAGTTTATTTGTGAATATATAACATTGAACTTAATATATATGTTTCTATATATGTGCTCATAAACGAATTTTCTCTTCATTATGTTACTATATTAGAATAATACTTATTAAATTTCTCGATTCAATTTAAATAATATAACGGGAAATTTAATAAACTCATGAAAATAAAAAAATGGCTAATATATGTATTTTATTTTTACTTTTTTTAATTTGTTTTATTAAAACAATTGCATATAATTTTATATAATTTATTTATATAGAAAAAAAAAAAAAATATCCTATGCAATAAGTAAAAGCGAATACTTTTAACAAAATTGTAACATTCCAATATTTTTTTTCTTCATAGTATATCATCAACATAATTCAATTAAATTCATTTTGAAAAATAAAATATTCAATTTCATAAAAAATATTAAGAATTTTTTTTTTAAAATGGCAATTTTAGCTAAGTGAAAGTAACATTGGTACCAATGATTAACTGGTGTGTTGTTCGCACCATATACTTAATGTCGTGACATAAAATTATTTAATGGAAAGATTTAAGGTTCATCTTATTAGCCAATTATAGACAAAAAAAAATTGGTAAAATATTCCTTTTTTGGCTTATTAAATTATGCAAATTAAGATATATGTATTTATATTTTTGTATATTTTTTTTTTTTATGGATCTATTACATGACTTTTTTTTTTTTTTTCAGCTATATAGCCATATACTTTTTTTTTTATTAAATATTTTAATTTATAAAATTTTTTAATTTTATGGCTATTAAATAAACAAAGAATTTAACTAATTTTATTTTTTTATTTTATTATTTTTTTTTTTTAATTTTTTATTTTTTAATATTTTTTATTTTATAGTTTTTTTGTACTTTTTAATTTTTTTTCAAAGCTTACATTATCTGTTTTTTTTTAATCATTTTTTCTGTTTTTTTGTTTTTTTGTTCTTTTGTTCTTTTGTTCTTTTGTTCTTTTTCTTTTAGCTTCCATAATTCTTTTCCAATTTTTTTGTTTAATTTGTTTGTGCTTGTATGTTATCTTAATATTACCATTTCAATTATAGTAGTATATAATTTTATAGAAAAATGAATTTTAAAATATCAATATTTTTAATTATAGTATCCATCTTGTATTCTGCAAATTCCAGAACCTTGAAAGGAAAAAATAATATAAATAATTCATTGGGAATAATACGGGAAAATAAAAATAAAACTCATCAAACGGAAATACATGAGTCTTTTTCACATCTTAAATCGAATAATAGTAATTTTGTAGAATATGGATCTTATTGCGGAGATGGGTGTAACTCTAGAATTACAAAAAATAATAAAAATATAAATAAAAATGATAGAAAATCACCAAGACAAATTTTAGAGGAGTATAAAAAAAGGAAACAAGGTATTATAGCAGGATACTATGGTTCATGGAACAGTCAAGGTGATAGAGCAAAACATATGATTGATTCAAACCCAATGGTGTCAATTTTATATATTGCATTTGCTCGCATTAATATGTTATATGATGTATCTAGACCATTTAATGGAAGACAAAGATTCCTATTAAGAAAACACGGCTTAGAATATGAAACCTATGGTATGATGCTTAATGAAATTAGACGTATCAGAAAAGTACGTCCAGATGTAATTATTCTTTTATCCTTAGGTGGAGAAACCTATATGATAGATATAGAAAAAGAAATTGATTATGTGGATAAAATATTGAAGCTTGTTAATGATTTTGATTTAGATGGTGTAGATATTGACTGGGAACCACATGGAAGTTTTAACAACTTAAATGAATTAAATTTTTCAAATTATTATATTAAATTAATTAACTTGTTAAGAAAAACTATTCCGGAAGAAAAGTTAATTTCAATTTCTGGTTCATCAAATGCTGCATTATCATGCGTTTCAGGAGTTGCATCTTTCTGTAAAGATGAAGAATCTCCATATAACACTAAATTTTTGTCTGAACAAATAGAAACAAATAAAGAATTACATAGGGCAGCAGCGATGTTATCAGCAGGAACTTTTATTAATATTTTTAATACAGCAAAGGAGAAAATAGATCTTGTATTTATTCAAACATACAATTTAGAAACTACAAATCCAGATATAATGGTAGATATGTACTTATCCCATTTATATTTTGGTTTAAAATATAACATCACAATCATATTAGGTTTTTCATTAGAACATAACAGAGGTGGATTTAGTCCCGAAAATAAAGAATTATTAGAATTGGTAGGAAAAACAATACATGATAAAAATCAAAATAATAATAGGGCAGATGGTATAGGGATATGGCATTTATTTATGAAAGAACAATTACCAACTGGATCATTCGATGTAGATATTTTTCTTACAAATATTTGGAAACATTTAAATCCTGAAGTACAAACTCCAAAAGACCTTACTATAACTGAAAACCCTGAAGACTGTAGCACAATAGATGAATATGTTCCAGGACTCGTTATTCCAACCATAGGGATATATTACAAACACAATGATGCTATATGGAAAACTAGATCTTATTCAATTCATGCACCTGGTGTAGACAGATATGAATGGGACTTGGTCAAAGTATGCTATGAAAAAATATGCGATGGGAAAGCAGCCCATTATTATAACACTGACTATAAAGAAAGCTCTATTATTATATGGAAAGGGGAACCATATTTAATTAAATGGTGGCAACAAGGACCTCCGGAAGGTCAGGCACTAGAGTCATACACAAAACTAGATGCATCCAAATGTCCAGGGATAGAAGAATGGAATAAAAAATATCCACATAAACCACTAGAAGTAGAGGAACAATATGAACAAGAAGTGGATTTACCATTACAATAAATGAGGCTTTTTATTAAAAATATTAAAAGAATATTTCATAGAAAAATGTAGTAATTAGTACAAATATACAAAAATAATAAAGTAAAATAAACATATTACCATGGTAAAATAAGATAAATTATATTTTTTTTATTCTTTTTACAAAGAAAATATGCATTTCTTTAAATTTTTTTTGTAAAATTAGATGTTATAATTTCTAATACTGTTTTAAGAATAGCAAAGTTTCGAAAAACTTGAATTTTAAAAAATAAAATATTTTTAATATTTTGCAATTTTTTTTATATTTATGTTATTAAGAATTCAATTTTTTTTGTGTTTTTTTATATATATATTTGAAAGAAAACTTATATATAGAGATAAAACTGCAACAGTAAATAGCTAATTATAAAGTTTATGCAATAATATTAAAAATAATATATTTAAATACAAAGATTAAGACTATATTTAAGAATAAATCATGTAAAGGATGTAAAATAATAAATACTATGTTAAACATTTTAAATAATTTAATACAACAAAATAAATTACAAAGTAGATATATTTAAAAAAAAGTAAATAGATAAAATATTTTTACTTATTGCAAATAAAAATGTTTTTATTCTTTTTAAATGTATGAAATGTTGATACAAAGGGGAAAATTATATGCACAATTAATTAATTTGCCTATTCAATTGCTTTTCTAGCATTGAACATATTAATAGAGTATGTAGAGAAAACTCTATTTTAAATAAAATAAATTATTGCACATATTATTTATTTTTGTTAATTAGTATTAAATGTTAATTCTATTAATTATTAAATTAATTTAGACAAATGCTCTTTAAATGTAATATTTAGCATTACATTTTTAAATTTTCACAATATAAAAAAATTATATTTTTTTTAGAGTGCTTTTATTGTACGAATTAATATGTTTACATTCATCTTCATTAGTAGAATACACAAATAAAAATATATTTACTTCATTTAAATATCATTTATAGACTAATAAATGCTCAATAGATTTAATAAATGCTTTAATAGTCTAGATAATATTATTATTGTATAATATAAAAATTAAAAAAAAAAATGAAATTTTTTTTTTTTTTTTTTTTGCATATTTGTAATTATTTTTTTATTGTAAAATTACTTCATTGATTATTCCTTATAAATCTTATCTTTATAAGTACAATTTATTTTGATAAAAAAATAATATTAATACATTATTATATGTTTTTATATATGGAGTATTTAAGTTTTAGTAAAAATGAAAGGAATATTTTATTAAACTATATAAACTTTTCATGAACTCACAATGTATTAAGGAAAAAGAAAATATTGAGTTAACATATTTTTATCTAAAAGTTTAAAAATTTGAAGTGAAATAAACTATTTATTTTGTATTAGATAATAAACTGTTTTATAAATTATTTTTCATATATTTTTATATAATATTAAACAATTAATTTAACATAGGAAATGTAAAGTTGCATCAATTAGTTTTGTTAATTGTAAAAATACTTTTTTTAAATATGTAATTTTGTTATAATTATAGTATTTAACATGAAATAATTAGATTGTTTCATATGACTTTACAATATCATGAAAAAAATATGTTATGTTTACATATTTTATATTATTAATGCTGATTAATTAGTAAGATGTTAAATGTGTTTGATAAAAAATTTACATATTTTTATTAAAGCTTAAGCACTCAATTTACAGAAGACATGATTATGTATGAAATAATTTTTTATAACGATAAATTTTCTTAAAAATTAATTTTTATAATTTTTTGAAAATTCTTCAATTATTCCATAAACAAAGAAAAATTTAATTACAAAAGAAAAATTACTTTTTTTATAAAAAAAAAAAAAAAATATGCAAAATATAATTAATTAAAAAAAAGTTACAACAAAAAAAAAAAAATAAAATTTTTTTTTACATACATTTTATTAACCATTATTTTTTTTAAATGCTATTCATATAATGTGTTAATTGGTTATACATTCAAAAGTTTTTATAAATTGAATGTTTAACATTAAACAAGTATAATTTATGTTAAATAATTTTAATGTCTTATAATTTAATTAGAATATTAAGAATAAACAAAATATAAATTATATTATAAAGGGTATTATAAATTCCTATAAAAGAATATATTTATTTAATTTCATATAATGTAACTAAAAGAAAATTACATGTTTACAAAAAGAATTTTTACAATTAATAAAATTTCTGGAAACCACTTTATATTTTCATTATTAAATTGTTTAATATTCTATAAAAATATATGAAAAAAAAATTATTAAATAGCTGTTCTATATAGTTATTTGAACATTGAATTATTAAAACATCATAAAAAAGAAAGGAAACAGCTTTCTTACAAGGAGTCCTGGTAGTTCATCTTTAGTTTGTGGAATGCTGTTAATAAATATGTTTTTAACATTTTATTTTTATATAAATTTATGATTTAAGGGAAAATAAATGAAGTTTACGAGGTATATGAGTTTACAAAAATTCACAGCAGCTAGTTAAATTCATAGTTATAAAAAGGAAAACTTCTTTTTTTGTATATTTTATTCATTGAAAAAGATTATCATAAGTCTTTTTTGTTTTCCAAAAACAAAATTTTTTTAGAAGACTTATTAATTGCTTATTTAAATACTTTTATAGAATTTTAATAGATAAATTAATAAAGAGAATATATAATTATTTCTATTAAGTTTAATCAAGCAATTACTACTTTTTAAATAAAATAAGAATTTAAGTTTTTATTATATTTAATAATTAAAATATGTAAATTTTTAATACTTAATATTTACATAATAGGTAATAAACATTTTACGTAAATATATATAAAATATTTTAAATGAAAATATTATCTTTTAGTATTTCTTCACCTTTCGTCCTTTTATACATATCTCTTCAAAAGCAAAAAAAAAAAAAAAAAAAAAAAAAAAATAATAAAATATACGTAAAGAAAAGTTGTATGAATCATTTACAAATATTTTAAATATAGGGTATTTCTCTAAATATTTTAAGATTACATATATAAAAATATTAATATGCATTTTATTAACTAAAAAGAGAAAAGTATTTTTTTAATGAGAGACATTTAAATGTTAAAAATTTTGACTTATTGCATAAACATACAACTTAAAGTCAAAATATTAAAGTGAAATATGTTTACTAAAGGTATTGAGTTTATTCTATATTATGATATCTCTGTCTATTAAAGAATGTATAATTGATTTAACTTACTAAACTTCCGTATTCATTTAGAAAAATGAAAATATTGAATTATGATGTTTTTTATTTAAAGGATTATAAATAGTATATCATATAAGATATTTGTACCATGTTAAGTAATGTAATTATGCAAAACGTACGCATTTGCATTATGTAACGTATAAATATAATTTTTCTTCTACATTAGTTAAAAAATATTTTTAAAAAAAACAAAATTGGCATAGATATGTTTATATTCCCTTTATTAATATGCCTCTTTAATACTTCATAAGTATTTTTGAAAATTAAATAAATTTCTTACAAAAATAGAGATATTTATACCTTTTAACTAAAGAATTTAATTAAAATAAACGGAAACAATAAAGATATATTGGTTTCCATTTCAGAATTAAAAATTAAGAATTATTTTAATATCTAAGAAATAAGTCATATTTCTTATTTAGTTGTTAGTGGTTATAATATTTAAAAAACATAAACATGAAAAGTTTAAACATTATGGAGAAATCAAATCAAATATTATTCTTAAAATAATACTCTTCAACGTTAAGATCGTTGAGTTTTTTTAATACAAAAGATAATTAAAATTTGTATATACATAAATGCTTATTTTATAAAATTAAATTCATGATGTTAAAATCATATGAACATGTTACAAAATTTACATTAACATTTTGTTAAGAAAAATCACATTGTGTGTAAGTTTATAAGATTTAGTATTAAGTGCTATTTAACTGAAGCCAATGTTCTTTAAAAACTAAAAATTATTCACTTATCCTTCACTTTTTTTTAATTTAATTTCGTAAAATACATTTTTTTTTTTTTTTTTTTTTTTTTTTTTTTTTGAGTTCTATGAATAAAAATATTGGAAAGTGTTAATTTCATGAATAACTTTATTAATAATTTTATGTTTAATTTTAACTACTAATGCATGAATAATTGTGATATATAACAATTAAATGCAACTTCTAATTTTATTATAAAAATAATAACAATCATTATAATTAAATAAATATGAAAAATATTTACTAATTTCACATGAAATTCCTTTTTCTTTTTTTATATTTACGATTTTGGCTTATTTATTTTAAGAAAGGAATATATAACTTTGTTTTGTGGATGCATAAAAGCTTATGTTTATTTTTTACTAAAGGATGAGTGATATTTTATTTTCACATAACATAAATAAACATATATATATAAATTTCCTTACAATATTATAATATAGCTTTATATATACTATAAAACTATATTAAATTTAACCAACATAACCTTTAATTTTAAAAAAAATTTTTTTTTGTAAAATATTTAATCTAATATATTTCACTATCATTCTTCTATATTAAGTTTATTTATGTTTATTTTTACAATCTTTTATATTTCTTTTTAATTAATACTAAATGATTATGATCTCTAAATGCTTATACATAAAATGTAATTAAATATTAAAATATATCATTTAATGAAGACAAATTACTAATAATTTTTAAAATATAATTTATAATGCAAAAATATTTTAATGATATATATATATATATATATATATATATAAATTGCTACGTAATTCATATAAATTTTTGATCATAATAAAAAACGAAAATATATATAAATATTTTTTTTTTTACATTTGGATGAAAATAAATAGAATTAGTTTCTGATCAGACAACTAAAATTTTATGTAATATATAAAAAATGAAATTTTTGCATATTACTAAAATGGATATTGTTTCTTCGTTTTTTTTGTTTTTATTACCTAGTATAAAAATGTAACTTTAAATAAATATATATATATATATATATTTCTATTCTTTATTATAAAAAAAATGAAAGTGAATTATATACACAGTATATCATTCGTTTTTAACAAATAACTAAAATAGATAATGACAAATTTAATATTTTAGAAATACACGTATGTATTTAAAAAATAAAATATGTTTTTGTATTTAAAAATTATTTAAACATAAAATTAATTAATAAATGATAAAATAAAAAGAAAAATACATTGAAAGAATGTCTTATTTTTAATTAACATACAAATGTATACGAATTTTTTTTTTTTTTAAATAAAAAAAACTTTTGAAAAAAAATTATTTAACTTTTTGTATACACTAAATAATTGTGCAAATTGAAAAACTTCTAAAAATCTTTAAGAAAATTAAAATTAATTGTCATTAAATTTAGAAATATATAAATTATCTTTTTATTAAAAAAATAAAAATTTTATTAACAATTTAATGAATAATGTTGCAGGCATTGGCATAAACAAATAAAAGAAAAAAGTAAAATATTTTATGAAAAACTATGTAATATCTTAAATTCGTTAGTTTTATATTTATTTTTAGGTTTTTTTTAAGTTCAAAGAAATTTCATATATATAAAAGTAGTGAATTTCCTTTTTTAAGAAAAAGGTGTCAATTTAATTTTTTTACAACAAAAAGAATTAATGCTTATTTTTTATCGTGAATGTAATAAAAAGTATTAATATGATAACATTTTTAGTTAAAGTATCAAGTGTAACATAGTATAATAAAATGGTAATATGTATTCTTGAATCAATTTTTATTTACGTAATTTTTTTTTTAGTAAAAAATATATGTTGTTCTCAAAATAATGATAATATGAATGAATTAAAAAAAATGATTGATAATAAAGGATTACATAATGATAATATGAATGAATTAAAAAAAATGATTGATAATAAAGAATTACATGATAATTTAATAAAATTAGAATCATTAATAATTCAATCGTTAGAAATGGATGATTTAAAACTACCAAGATTAAAAGCAGATACAGAATTATACTTAAATTTGTCTAATTACAAAATAATAAAAATTGGTTCAAGTTCCAGCAAAATTAAATATATTGTACCTACTTCTAAATGTAATGTTGATGATATAGTAAAATATGAACATATTACAAAAGAACATCTAATGGAATCCTATGACCTTGAAAAATCTTCTCTTGTTAAAAAAAAAAATTTAGTTGTTAGAACTTTAAAAATAATCAAATTTATGTTACTACCAATTATTTTTTACAAAAAAACAAACAAATTAAAAGAATCATTAGCTCAATTAAATAGTCTTTTTTATGACAATATAGGGTCAACAGAATCTACTAAATCAATTTTTCAAGTGAAATATGAAAGTCAGTCATCTAAAACTGTTGGATTAACCTATAAAAATATACAAAAAAGTATTTTTATACATAATGTATTAGATGATATTAATATCGAAATATTAGAATCTAATGATTTATTTTTTACGACTCATCCAAATATTGATTTCATGAGAAAATTAGATAGATTATCTAATTACTATGACTTGGGGATATTTAATTTAATTGGTTCTCACTTTATAGGTGTTTTTTTTTTACATATCCTTAAATAAATTATTTTTTTTTTATTTTCTTATTAAAAGAATTTTTTTTTTTTTTTTTTTTTTTAAAGCTTTAGGACATTTTATTATTTTAAAATTAGCATATAAACTCTTTCATGAGTATTTTGAAGTTGGAAATATAAAATTTTTTAGCTGGGAGAAAATTTTGCAATTCAATATATCAGATAGATTTAAAGCACTTGATTTAATTTGTAACCATGGTTCTAATTACGTAGGTTACAAAAAGAGAAGAGACCAATTTTTAAAATATGATAGAATGCGGACATTGGAAGAGTGTAGAATATTAGAATTTTTAATTCACTATCTTAATAAATACCAAATGGAATTATATACTAATGTATATGAAAATAATTTAAAAATTCAGGTTTTAATGGAACATAATCATATAAAAGATGCATTTTTTAATTTTATGTGTAAAAATAAATCTAACTGTAATATATATGACAGTGAGAAATTTAAAACTGAGTTCAGTAAAAAAGATTTTGCAGTAGCAGATAAATATAATTTTTCATTATACAATTATTTTGAATCTTCTAACATAAGTTCATTCAGCATATATGTAAATTTTCTCTACTTTATAAAATATTATAATTACTTTAATTATAAATGTATTTTATATGTTCATCTTTTAAATCTTATTGGAATTTTAAGTAATATTTTAATATAATTTTTGAATTTATATTCTTTTTATTTTATTTTATTTTATTTTATCTTTTTATCTTTAATTTTTAAATATTATTAGATAATGATAGAAGGGCATATGTGAGTTCCCTTTACTTACCAGGATATTATAATGGTAAAAAAAAAATAATATGACATTTATATTTCCATTAATGTATGCAAATTTTTCTTTTTTATAGCTATCCAACTGTCGTTTGATGAAAAATCTGAGATTGTGAAGCTCTATGAAAACTTGATACAATGTAATTTTAAAAAATTTTATAGAAATATTACTATGAATTATATTTAATAAAACAATAAATTAAAATTATAGCAACTTCATAAAAATGTTACTATACATTTTATTTTATAAAATAACATATTAAATCATTTATAAAAATTGCAGGTGTTAAACAGTGTTATATAGACGAAAGAAGAAAAGAAATATTATCATACAACATCGATTCTCTTTTAAATTATAAAAAAAGTGATTTAGATATTTGTAATATGTGCGAAGGAACACTTTTTTATATTAGCGGTAATATTATAAAAAATATTGAAAATATCTTTTAATTATATTGCTTAATTTTTTATTATAATTTTTTTTAACTTTTATTGTATAAATTAGGTCAAATTGATAACAGACCTTCTATGCTACAAAAATTTTATATTTACCTTACCAAAGTTATTAAAATAAATAATATTAGTTTATTAATGAAAAATATGATAACATATGAGGATTATGATAATTTTTTAGCTAATGATATAAATTGGTATACCTTTTTATTGTTATTTAGACTTACATCATATAAAGGTAATTAAAAATAAAGAAAAAAGAATGCATCATATTTTTTTATAATATAATATATAAAAATTATAAAAAAGTCATCAAAATTTATTAAAAAGATAATATAGCAATTTATGCATAAAAAAAAAAAAAAAAATAAGAAAATAAGAGGAAAGACAAATATAAAATTTTTCTTATAATTGTATTTTTTCATCCTATAAATATATATTTATTTTTAAAGGTGTTTATCATGACAATATAGCTAAAGCTATGTATTTAAGTTTAAAAAAAGAAGATAAATTTAAAAGGTCTGCTACTACAAGTTATTGGTCTCCTTCTCCAATAAGAAAGTATTATTCATTATATTTGAGAAAACATGAGTCTATCAATTTATTACATAGTAAGAAATAATAAAAAAATAATTTGAAACATATATAATTATCTTTATATGAAATTTTCATTTTTTTTTAATCATGAATATAATGTATTATTTTTAGTCACTTCTTTTTTCTCATAATATTTTATTTTCTTGTTAATAGAGTTAAAAGGACTCTTAAATGATAAAATTGTAGAGAAAATCAAAGGAAGTATAAAGTTCATTATTCATGTAAGTTCTTTTTTACAATTAGATTTTTTTTCTTATCTTATTGAATCTAGTAAGAATGCATATGTGTATCCTTTAACTTTATTAATGGAAAGTAAATTTAGAGAATGGATGAAGAGTTTTGAAATGGGTCGTTTTTTTTTAAATTATGAAAATGAAGATATAGAATATGATAAACCTAAAAATATGGGAAATGGAGAGAATGAAACTCCTAAATATAGAAAATGGATTCTTATTATGAAAAAATTTGTAGATAAATCATATGAAGCATATTTTAATCAAAAAAACGTAAAAAAAATTTACTATTATTATAATCTTTATGGTGTAAGTAATAAATTAATGTTAATGAAAGACTCTTATGAATTATATTCGAAATATTATGAGGATGTAGTTTTTTATGCAGACATATTTGATTTAAGGAAGACTAATAAATCACTTATTCCAAGAAAAGAATTCAGAAAGAAAAAATTTACTTTTTATTCGCAATATTTCTTTGGGAATACTATAAATGCTCTTAAATATGGATTTATATATGGATTTATAATAAATAAAAGTTACTTAAAAGAAGTTGTTGATATATTATTTTCAATATATAAAATGAATACAGATACCTTTTCAGACACTTCTTTCTTACAAACCGTATATCTGCTTTTTAAAGAAATACAGAAAAGCTTTTATATGCATAGAAGAAATGATAACACGGTAAGATAATCTTAAAATTTTTTCTTTTTCTCTTTTTTTTTTTTTTTTTTTTTAAATACAAATTATACATAAAGTACTTTATTATTTCTCTTAAAGACTCTAAGTTTTTTTCTTCTTATTTAATAAAATGTTCCTTTTCATTTATCAAAATACATTTATACTTTTTGAATTTATTATTATTTTTTTTTTTTTTTTTTGTAGAGTATGAATAATACCTTTTTTTTCAACGTTAATACTAATTATTCTAAAATGAGAAAAGAAAATAGAGAAGAAGAGATTAATGCTTCTATGGCATCTAAATATTTTGCAAAAACTCTATTTGTGGCGTTTCAAATTATGTTTACTATAAAGTTAAGTAGGTATATGGATTATCTTGATAGAAAATACGGTAATGATAAATTCTTAAAATTAATGATAGATGAAAAAGCATTCATGAAATATACATATGTGTTTCATGGAAGTATGATAGATAGTTTAACAAATAGTTTTTTGCCATATTATTCAAAGGGGCCAATAACTCAGTTAAGGTACGGAAAAGCTTTTATTTTAGCTAATATGCATAAATTATGTGCTCATATATTTTCAATATTAAATTTAAATAATTTAAGTCTTTTACTTGAATACCAAGCGATAATTAGCTCTAGTTTTTATGTAACTAAAAAATTGAATCAATATATGGATAAAAAAATTGAATTTGCATGTTGGTCATTTTTTTTTAAAGTGACACATGACTTTTTACAAAGGATGAGTGCTTCTAGTGCTGCTGTGGTTGATAGTGCTGCTAAATCTCCTAATGTGGGAACATCTCATGATAAAGGTGGTGACGTATTGGAATTCGCAATGGAAGTGCTTCCTAATTATATGGCAGGTTTGTATGAAATTGGTAATATTCATTTAAGAAAAAAAGATATATTTTCCTCTGTTTCTTTAAATAAATTACAAGAACAAATTATTCGTGAATATTATTTTATCCCTTCAAAAAAGAAAAAAAAAGTTTATTCTATTACTTTTACTTACTTTGTAAAGTATTTTCATGAAACTATTTTTAGCTATCTCCTTTATCACTTTTTTGCCTGGCTTTTTTATTATTTTTTTACATTATATGTGGACGTTGATTTAATTATTCTAACAATTCGAAATAGAATTCGTGTATTTGATAGATTTTATTCTATATTTGAGGATAAAGTTGAACATTTTCTTCAACAAAAGTTGAATAACTTTTCCATTGACCCAATACTAGAAAAGGCTAAAAAAGCACAAATGCGTATTAAAAATAAAGAAAAGTATGAAGACTTACTTAATTCTAGAGTTCATATGAATGAATTTAATAAAAAACCATATATTAAAAATATCAAGGAGAAACTACTAATGTTAACACCACATGAAATAGAAAAGTTGCTAGAAAAAGAAAATATAGTTTACATTGATGATGATTCTTCTTTTGAAGGATTGGATGAAGATGAAGTATTTTTAAATAGAAGAAAAACTATATGTTATGAAGAAAAAATAGGGACCAAAAAAAATGAAAATATGGAAAACAATAAAGAAAAAGTAACAAAAACCAGGTTAGATATATCGAACGAGGCAAATAAAATAAGGAAAGGCGTGAAAAAGGATTCAACAAATGATTTTAATGATGAATTTAATTATTCTGAATTTTATTGTTCTGAAATATAATTTTATAATATTATCCTGAGTATAAAAGTGTCACTACATTTACAAAATATATCTATTATAATGAAAGATAAAAAAAAATTTAGATATTTTTTTATATTTAATTTTTTTTTGTTTATATACAATATATAATTGAAATAAATGTATTTTCTTTTTATATATTATTTTTTTAAGAATCCTCTAATTTATTTTTCATTAACATACTATGACATACACGAACTTTTCATATTTTTAATTTAATATTTTTACTTTGTTTTGCCATTTTCATTATATTTGATAATATTATCTTGACATATTAATTGTTTCGTAAATTCTATGTTTTATTTATCCTTTTTTATGGAAATATGCCTGTAAAATAGAAATACATATTTCAATCTAAAAATCTCGAAGAGACATTTATAGGTTCATTATATATATGTTCATAAAACATTACTAATATATTTTCTAATTAATAGAATTATTTTGATTTAATACTTCTAGTGTATAATAAAAAAAAACAAAAAGATTTAAATTATGATTAATAGCAATATAACAATCAGTATAATTAATTTCATTAAGAATTAATTATAGTAGTGAAAAGAAAAATATATATATAAAGAACAATCACGAAATTTTTGATACATTTATGATAAAAATAATAATGGAAAAAGATGTTAATAAAGATAATTTTATGTTTATATTTACAGGTATTTTATCATTTTTATTATAACATATAATCAATAATAATTGTTCAATTTATTTTAGTTTCAGTAAGAGGTAAAATTTAAAATAGAGTTAAAGTTTTCTTCTAAAGTTTTTCTTCTATTTATGAATAAATGTATATTATGAAATAATACTAATAAAAATATATTTGAGGTTATGATAATGGTAATTATTATTGTTAGTAAATATATAAATTTGATTATAACGAAAATTTTTAATTTAATAACTGTAAATGAGAAAGTAATTAACTTTAAAATAATACTAACATTTGTCAAAAACATTTTTAAATATTATAATATAATTAAAAAAATACAATTATATGAATAGAAAAAAAATTGACTTTCAAAAAAAGAAAGGAAATAGTAATGAAGTTATTACATGGATAATAACTAATAAATAAGATGCTAACTTTTTTAGATACTTAAACTTTTTTTATTATTTAAATAAATGAAATAATCATAAATGAATTATGTTTAGCATTATAAACTGATTATTTTGCAAAAATTAATTTCATATAAATCATCAATACAAAATGTTATTGACTACTTTTAATTGTAATAAAAATAATTATCAAATATATGAATATAAAAATTTGTGAGGAAAAAACGTATATTAAAATGCATGCACTAGAAATTATTAATCTCTGAATATTGTGCATATAAAAAAGAAATATTTATGTTTATTTTTATTGAAGACAAATAATATATATAAAAAAAAAAATAAAAATAAAATTTTTTTTTTTACAAGTGTGCATTTAATGGAGGTTAATAATAAAAAATTTTTTTTTTGCCCATATAATGAAAGATATTGAAAGTAAAAAAATGTTTAATTTTATATATTTTAATATTATTAATTAAATATCATTATTAATGTAATTTATTAGTTTGCTTTTCAATAACCTAAATAAGTATTGAAGAATCACTCAAAAATGTGGAGAAAACTCCATTTCGTTCATTATAAGAATACGTTTATAACGAATATGTATTCTTTATTTATTACATTTCATCATATGAAATAAATGACTTACTTCATATAATTTTTATAATAATATTAGTGAAAATATGTTAACGAAATAATTTTTTTATTCTTAAAATAATAATTATTCATTAAAGGGTATTTATTTAATTTAATAGAAGTTTCTATATTTTTTTTTAAAACTTAAATCTTCATAAAAAGTACTTTGATTATACATTAAAAATTATTTTTATTCGTGCAAGCTAGCATATTTTTATCAAAATATTAATTAAAAAAAAAAAATTTTAAATTTTACTTAAAGTAAATAAAAAAAAAAAATTAAATAAAATAAATACCCATGTAAGCAAAATTAACATTTTGTAACTACTTAATTTTTTAATATATACAATAGTTTAATCAATAAAATTAGTTGAAATTACATTGTATACTCATTAATAAATTGATTGTTTTATATTCTACTAATGTTTGGCTAATAATAGTATATATTAACTTCTTTTATGTTGTGCTTATACAAATTATATGTAATAACTACTTGGTCAAAAGGTACACAAGTTGTGAATTTATAGATTTACAAGTTGCACATGAGTATACATCATTTTATATATATATATTTGTATTCGATTTTGAACGTTAATTTTTATTTAAACAATAAATTTCAAGTGAGGTACATATATGATAGTAAAAATGTTATATTATGAAAATTTACAAAGAGAAAAACAAAGAATATACAATTCTCAGGAGAAATAGAAATATTCGTATAATAGAATATATTTAAAAAGGGATATAAGAAACACCTAATAAAATAAGAATATAAACATAAAAAGAGAGTATTTTTATTCATTATATCGTGTTTATGTTAAAATAAGATTCTTATTATATATTATAAAAGAGTGCGTGTGAAGACTTACATATTTTAAAATATTTGGATTCTTAATTATGAAAATATCTTTTTAATAAAGTAATTAAACTCATTAAAATTTGTCAAAGTTTTTCTATAAGTTCCTTCTTCATGTAACATTCAATGTTATTTAAAGATTATTGAATAAGTAATAAATTAGTTCAATAGCAGTCAATAAATGGTGTTTATTGGAATATATATTGAAAAACTTATCTTTTATTTCCTTAAATAGGAAAATTTTAAACTGTTTATACCAAAGCATCATATTATTCATAGAATCTATATTAACTCAGATAAATAATAGTACCGGTCATATTATAATTATTATATATCTAAGAATTTAAATGACGTACAGTGGAGATAGAGCATAGTTAAAAAGAATTATTTAAAATAGTTGTAGCTTAAGAGATATTCAATTACTATGTTAATAGACCTAAAACTTTCATCGAAACATACTGTAAATGTTTTACTGTAGCAGATTCAATTAATAAAGGACAACTACATAGATGGAAATTAAGATTAATGAAATATAATTTGGAGATTGACTATATTGAAGAAGTTCAAAATAGTTTAAATAAATGGATTACTAGATCAACAAAAAATGATGATAATCTTTATAGTTACATGATATTATATTGTAACAAGACTCCAGAAGAATATGAAGATTTACATGTGATTCTGTCATGTGAAAAAATTACTAATGCAACAAGAGATAATAAAAATAATATACCAAAAAATGTTGTATGTACAGATAATACCCGTGTTCCTTATGGAATGGGATGATTATACATAATGGAAAAAAATAGATATAATTTAATATATTGGTTTCATAGTAATAAATTTACAGAATATAACAGAATAAATAAAACTATTATGAAAATACATACTTTCGGTGGTCTAATGTTAATTGAGAAATTAAGGAATGCGTCCCTGAAGAGTTACAAAAAAATTATTCCATATCTGTCACATAATCCACGAGAAAACGATGTAAATGAAAGATCTAAGAAAAGTATTTACCATTGATTTATTAATTTTTCTCTTAATGACTTTTCCAATGTAATGAACAAACAAATTAATAAAGGTAATGTAGAGTTTCCTTTATTAATTTAGTTAATTTAAATATAATTTTAACTCGATAAACCAGTATACTATATTTACAGAGTCTATTACTTAAAGCATTAATTGTTAAGAGTTATTTATTTATTTTAATAGAAACCCTATATTTTTATTAGAATTTTAAATTTTTATCAATTATCAATTTTTAATTAATTATATGCTATTCATAATGTTATAATTAATGTTTAGCAAATACAAATAACTGCTTTTAAATTAACAAAAATGAGTAATTATTAAAACATAAAATTTGAATTATATAAATATTATAAACACGAATATTTCATTGTTGTTATTAAAAAATTTTCTTTTAAAATATCAAACAAAATTAATTTTCAAGGAAATGTTTTTATTAACAATTGTTTTCTTCAATATTTCAAAAACAAAAAACAAGATATATATTTTTATTTTAAACTAACGTAAAGAAAAATAAAAAAAATTTATAAAAAAATATTAAAAAATTTTTTTGTATTTTTTTTTATGATTGAAATATAATTAACCTGTAGGACTGTCGTATAATTTTTGTTGTTAAAGTTTAGCTTTTGTTGATAAATATAACGAGAAATAATTTTGACATTTAAAAAGAAAATTTCATACTTACAATAATAAAATTTTCATATTTATAATATTTATATCTTTGAAATTTGTGTTTTAATAACTAATTGTTTTTGTTAAAAGCAATAATTTGGAGTTGATAAAATTATTCATAACATTATAAGTAGTATATATTTAATTAAAAATTGATAATTAATGAGGATTTAAAATTTTAATAAATAAAATAGAATTTTCATTTAAGTAAATAAATGCTTCTTAAAAACAATTAATAGTCAATGAAATCAATTACATAAAATTATTTAATGGTTTATATAATTTAATATTAAATGTAAAATAATTAAATAAGTAGAGACGACTATCCATGCTTTCTATTAATCTGTGGATTCAATACCTTATCAAAGTAATTGAACGGGTAATTAATAAATCACGTTTTGATGAAATAATAAAAATCGTAGAGTTAAAATATAATAAACCCTACATTTCTCTATGGTAGAAACTTCATATTTTGCTATGTTTATAATTTATTTTACATGTCCACGTTTTTCAAATATAATATTAGAAAATACTTTATAAATGAGAATTATTTATTTAAATGATAAGTGAAAGAGTGCATACAATGATTTAAGTAAAATTAAAGATATATTCATAATTAAGGATAAAGATATTAATACAGAGATATTTTTTCTCATGAATTACCTGGATACAAAAAAAAAATCAAACAAAGTATTATATTGAAAATATATAATTTAAAATGAGTTGG